GTTTTGGATCCAAATTTGGATCCAAAAACGGGGCGATACAAGATTTCACCGCCGCTCAAATTCACTGCGCCTGCCAGCACTTTCAGACCCTGCAGCACGCGCGTGTCGTGTTCGGGGGTTTTTTCCCCGCCGCGTGCCTAGTAGTAGTAGTAGTAGTAGTAGTGGTAGTAGTAGTAGTAGTGGTAGTAGTAGTAGTAGTAGCAGCAGCAGTAATAGTAGTAGGAGTAGGAGTACGAGTAGAAGTAGGAAGAGGAGGAGGAGGAGGAGCAGCAGCAGCAGTAATGGTGGTAGCAGCAACCGTTGCTGTTGTTTGTTGTTCCTGCTGTAATTGCTGTTGTAATTGCAGTGGTGGTAAACATGCAAGCCGCAGCTTAAACGTAAGAGTTCTCTGGCTTGTACTTCTCCCGCGCTACACCAACTGCTATTAGCAGTTTGGGTCTCAAGCGGCAAGTTTGCGTGGAACAAGGCCCTGGGCCGCACGGGGTTGCGGGTAGAAGCGGGGTTCCATACAGATCCCAAAGTCTGGACACGGACTCGGCCATAACAACCTCAGAAATCCATCCTGTGCCCTTTGATTCGCATCTGCGCGGCACTGTCCACATAGCACCATGCATCACAGCACCACTCCTGGTTAGATTGGGTGAACCAGTTCGAACTCGGATTGGTACCTTAGCGCATTTTTTTAGAGCTTCAGCGCTAATCAGCAGCAATGACTTCATGACCCCAACAAGCTCCAAAATCATGAGCTCGAAGCCTTTTACCGTGGATAGCACTCAGCGCTCGGAGTTTGAGGTTCAAAGTTGCACTTTGTTCAACATGTTTTTTGTTTTCGTTACTACGATTGCAGGCGTCAGGGCTTGGTGTTGGGATGTCTGGCTTAGACAGTGGGAGGCAAGTTGTCATGGTGCATTAGGCAGAACGAAGTTGCAATATAGCTGAGCTGAGAGCAACCATTCTGGGCATGTGAGGCAGGAGCACAACCTTTGAGATAGTCTTTGCCGCTTGTAGTTCCACGACTCAGCTATTTCCTTTGATGCGCTAGATATCATGCTCTGTAGGAGCATTCCAACAGGTAGGCGGATTAATCTGGTTTGTGAGCTTGGGAGCTTGATAGTCCAGTCGGGGCCCTGAAGCAGTAACAGAAGAATCGCGGTTGCAGCAACGGCTTCTCAGGTCAAATGGGAGTTCTTCAAAATTTGGGCCCTCAGGCACCTTTCGGATAGAAAGGGATTAGAAGGCGATTAGGGGGTCTCTACTAAGGATTGTATAAGGGATGTTTTGAGAACTTGCACATCCTGCATCCTGTCGGCTGCCAAGCCATGACGGCACCGCTGGACGACTACGTCGACAGCGATGATGACTGTTCCTACTCCTGCTGCTGCTAACTACTAGTAGCACTTGTGGTCATAGTCATTGTACTAGCAACAAACATATGGCCAGTAATCGCCGCAGCTAGAAGCAGCTAGCAGCAGCAGGAGGAGAGGAATAGAGGGAGTAGTAGCTGTACTTGCAGCAAAAGCCCACGCAGTCGTGATGAAAGAAAATTATGTACGGCCATACGGGGGACTGGGGCCATGAGTTTTCATGAAATCACCAGTAAGCATCATATGGTCAAGCATTATCATCCCTGAGCCCTGTGTAACCCAAGACCCTGGACCCTAAATCCTCAAACCCGCAACCCTAAACCCTGGACTTGAGTAGCAAAGCAACTCCAGGTGGCTTTGCAATCTTGGGAATCCCAGGCGCTGCCTCAGTACGGAGAAGGTTTAGGACTCCAGGCTGCCCAAGTAGCGGTTCTACCACGTACTCACAATAGATAGAAATACCCAGACCCCCTAAAGGATCCCAAAAATGGAACCTCCTACTAATCCCCTAGTTTCCCCAATG